CCGAGGCAGCCCCGCTGAGCCGGGCTCTGGGCACGGGTAGCGCCTATGTCCCTGCCGTCGCTTCCAGCCCCTCCGGGCTGAGGGGGCATGGCGGTGCCTCGGCAGTTGGTGTAAAAGAAGCAGGTTCGCCAGGTCCAAACTGGCTTTGTCTGTGACAGTTCCTCCGCTGAAACGCCAGGAAATGGCAGTGCCGAGCTGTGGCACTTCTGGAGAATGTTTTGCTCGCCCGCCTCTGCCTTGGTGGCCTTGCACAGGCTGATAAAATGTGTCCCTTGCTGAGGAAACCGGGGGGGAGGTTGTTTAGTGACACACCACCCCCCCACCACCCCTTACGAGTGATTTGTTAAAAGGTTTATTTTCTCTGTCCCCTTGCGAAAGATCACGAGCAGTTGTGCCTGATGAAGTAGCCCGTACGCAGTGCTTCAGAGCCTCTCGCTTTGGGGTTCAGGGGATGGGCAGGGCGCAAAAAAGCTTCGTCTGTGGGACATCGCTGTCAGGGGACAGCAGGTGAACAAGTGCTCTCCGTCCACGCCGGTCTCAGTTCTGGTTTTGAGCAGAATAAATCGCTGTGAAAACTGTTTGTGCATCCGCCCTGCACATGCCAGTTTGAGATGCCCAAGCTGCCCCCAAAATTGGTAGTTTAGGATTTTACAGGTGTGGGGATCCCAACAGTAGGTCCTGGCTGTGTAAAGTGGTCTTGGTCAATATTGGTGGGGGTGTTTCAGGAGCACTACACCCTGAACGGTGGTGTAACCCCATAGCATGTCTAGGTTAAAGACCGGCACCTTCAAGAGTATTTTTGCTTTGTAATGGGAGTTACCTTGTTCTGCAGTCTGACGTCAGTCGGTGGTACTGGTGCGTGAGGAAATCTGAAGTGTGGTGAGACTCTGGCAAACTTGTAAAACAAAAGCCACCTTCAAATCCATTTGCAATAGAAGGAAAACAAAGGGGACAGAATTTCTTGAATGAGTGTTTTGCAGATGCAGAAAGGTATCAACCCAGTTGTAAGTCAAAGTACTGCGCTTCCCTGGGCAGCTCTGAGTCATTGGAGTGGAATGGGTTGTTATTTGACTTTCCTTTGCATCAGCTGACTTGAATTAGCTTTTGGAGCCAATGTACCAAAGCATCGTCTCTTGCCAAAAAGTTTTGAAGTATTTAGTTGGGAGTTCTGTGTCGTGCATTAGAGCTTGACTCTCTTCATCATCTTCCAGTGCATCCACTTTGGCAGAGTCCGCTTACAATTCCTGGGGGCACTCGACAGTCTCCTATCAATATCCAGTGGAGAGACAGTGTTTATGATCCCTTTCTGAAGCCTCTGAAGATCAGCTATGACCCAACAACGTGTCTTCACATCTGGAACAACGGATATTCATTCCTGGTTGAGTTTGATGATTCTACTGATCGATCAAGTAAGCAAAGCTCAGAAAAATCGGTGTAATGTGTTATCAATGCTTAGAGAGGAGAAATGTTTGCGTGCTGTATAAAGGTTCAATAACAACACAAATGCTGAAGATGGATGTACAGTCGATGAACGCTTTATCGAAACAGAGATTTGCAGTGATGGGAATTGTAACACAGAAGTTCTACACAGGCCTTACTTGTCCTGTGAGTTTATTACCACGGGCATTGTGCACAAATCGTCGGTGGTAGGTTGAAATTGATTCCTGTTGCACAAACCTTAGTGCCCTGCCTTTTGGTTAGGGCTCGTAACACCACGGCTTTGGCTACACTAGTCGCTCTTCAGTCATATGTATCTACTCACTTTTAAATGAGATTCCATCATTACACTTTAATGAAGTAATCTGCCACTTACCTCTTTTGCGGTGATAACAGATAGATTTAATGCATTTGAAATAATCAGCAGCAAAATGACTTTCGGTTGGAAAGTATACATACTTATCTCGGTAAGCGTTTGGAGGATTAAATAATACTGAGCTGCTACCATGGGTGCCAGGTGCGTGTGTTCCTGGTGTTTCAGTGTAAGCAGGAGTCCACGCATGCAAAATCCGACTGTGCTTTCCAGCAATTTGTGGGGAATGAGCACGCTGACCTGAGCAGCTCAGGTTTTTTTTAAATGCTCAATAGAGCCAAGTGACTTAAGATACTGCGACTGAATTCCAGATTTCTTGTCCGTTGTTCCTTTTAAAAGTTGACTTTACCAAAGGGTATCGCTGGTGTGTATAAAGAAGTTATCTCATAAAGGTAGGGGGACTGGTAGCAGTTGATCAGGGATATTGTGAAGCACGTGATTCATGTCGGTTACTCACCTTGGAGGGAAAAATTGAGGGACCCTGGGCAAGTTTGAACCTGTTTGATTACAGTCATTTATGTTTGCTTACCGTGAGAGATGCGAGACCTTGGTGCGGGATTTGGCAACGCTCTTGGGAAGGAAGCTTTCAGCATGCTGATGAACAAACGCTGTGCCTCCGCAATACCGGTATTTTTGGTTGATGTTTGGCAAGAGGCTGGTAAAACAAGGCAGGTAGTGGTGGAATGCACGGAGCTTGCAGGGGCTTGTGTGACACTTTGTTTTTATTGTTTCTAGCTGTTCACCCAAAATACGAGTTTCCCAACAGGGAATATTCTTGCCCTTCTTCCTGTGAGTGCTGTGATATGTCATGAAGAAACCACGTAGGGCCATTCTGTTGTTACGGTACAAACTGCTGTTGCGTTGGTGAGGTGGGGTTAGAGGAGGGGCTAGGACAGAGACATCGCTTGTTAGCGCATTAGTGACTTTAACTTTCTAACTTTAGATCTTTTTTGCTTTTAACTTAACAGTCTTTTACTTTATACGGCCATATCCGGCTATCTGTTGAGGAAGGGTTCCTGAGAAGTGTAAAGGTTTTCAGCTCAATGGATAACAAAGTCAGTTTTTTCTGCCAGAATTGATGTAGTGAAGGGGAATTGCCTGCCGGAGGTTGGTACATAAGCGACATGTAGATACACGGGGACAGTTTTTGTGACACAGAGGCAAGCATGGGATGGTCAGGACTGTCGGTTAGTTAGAGGGGTGCTGGCCTTTCAGAGCCTGGCTTTTCAGCTCTCAAAGATCGGCTGTAAGACTGAACGTGCGAGGTAAATCTTTAAGTGTGAGCTTTCTTGCTGCCTCTTTCTGGATGGCTGCCTTTTCATCATCATCATCTTCCTCAAATGAATTACAGTCAGTGAAGGGTGATGACGGCTGGTGGAGGCCAGCATTAAACTCGCAGTGACAGGACTCCAAAATGACAGACTGAGAAACAGCAGGTCACGGGATGTTGCTGTATAAATGGCCAGGTTTTCAAGTGCCTGCTTCTCTTTTCCACCTTTCCCTCCTTCCTATTTCTCTTGCTTTATTTTCTCTCTTTGCTATTGCTGATTTTTCTTTCTGCCAGCTTCTGTCTAACAATAAGAGAAATCCAGAGAAGAAAGCTCATGAATAAACAAACAAAAAAAAAGCAACAAAATTGAAACAGAAGATGAAAAAGAGGAAACGTGCATCCAGGAGAGACAAAAATGCCCAACTCCTGAGATGAGGCAAAGCAAAAACTGGGCAAGAGATGAAGGTAGTGCTGCCATGGGCTGTTTGCTTATGAGCAGGGCAGGAGGACGAAGAAGAAAGAGGGCGTGGGGAAGGTACGTACAGAACGTGATCGTGTCTGTGTGTGTGAATGCCGTCTGCTGAAGGAAAGGAGACTGAAACAGAAGTTGGGCTGCGATAAAAATCTGATGTGATTCTTTCCCTTGGTGGCTGTTGGAGTTCCTTTAAACTTCTGTTTTGTTTTGAAATTATCAAGTAGTAAACTGAGAGGAAATGAAATGGCAAAAATGCTTGTAAAAGGGACAGTAAGTTCCTGTTTGCCTGTTGCTTTCGAGTGTCCACTGTGACCACCTGATGTTCAGCATGTGTGTGCCTGTGCCTGACTTCACTTGCCAGGCAAGCATTCAGGTGAAGGTGATTGTTAACGTGAACGTTGTCACCAGTGGGTTTGCATCATCACATCAATCAGGATAGTGTTAGAGGGCAGAAACTTCGGTTCTGAAAGGCTTGGCGATGTGGGCCACGTCTTCACCCCAGCCCTGAAAGTGACCTTTCTCCCTCAGGGTTTTTTTAGCGATGGTCAGTATTGCATTTCTGCTAAGAGCTCAGCAGCAGTGGATGAAATTAATTAAATGCCAGTTTGCATAGCTTGCTTTAGCTTACTCTTTTATCACAAGCAGGCCTGTCTAGTTAGAATTGCAAAACTGCTGGCTGGCTTTCAGGAGGGGAAAAAAAAAAAAAAAAGACGAGAAAAGCTCTTAATGCCTCATTGTTTTCTCCTTAGCATTACAGTGACTAACTTCTTTTCAAAAGTAGCGTTGTGATTATGTACTTTATACAGTGCTTTGCTGTAAAATTTAACCATGCCATACAGTTAAGTAAAAGTCAGCAAGTGGGTCCCTACAGCTACGTATTTGTTGTTAGCCCTTTGGAAGTAATTATCGCCTCTCATTTACCAGGTGCTGTGATGTAATAACCAGCAAGACGACTTTGCAGCATGGTCCTGGTTGAATTAGGAGGAAATGAGTGAAACCCAACAGTATGCAGAAAACTAGGCGCAGACTTTTTCATTCTTGTGTTTGCAAAACGATGAGAGGCCTTCTGAAATTGGGGGAGCAGAGTGAATGTTCACCTTCACTCATGGCTAGAAAGTGCATTAAATCTCCCAGAAACTCAGAATCTTGCCCGTAGGCAGACTGTACGTATACAGTAGGCACAATATTAGCCTATTTCTGGCTCTGCAGGAAATCTTTTAACCTTGGTTATGCAGTCTGAAAGCTGTATGGAAGCAGAATAGTACGTTTGGATTTTTGAACTTGAAAAAAAAAGCGGAATTGAACATTTGACACAGTGTAGTGATTTTTCTGGCAAAATTGGATTTTTGAAGTCTTGTACTGTCATGGGAGATTTAAATATTTGTCATAGATATTGAGGCTTCACTGGGATGTTATTTAGTAGATGTATTCATTGCTTTGTTGTCATATGTGTTCCTTCTGGTAAGGCAGCTCGCTGAAGGCTGCTCCAAGAGAAGAGTCTAGAACATCACATGTAGTCACCATGACTGCCAAACTCCATGTGAATTGGAAAAAAAAATTCTCTTGAGGGGAGATGGATGAGGACAGTATTTAGCTTATCTTCAACTTGACATAGTTGATTCAGACTGTGGGGAAAACCAGTGATGGGTTCGCCTGAACGATTTTGTCGTAGCAAAGTGTAAAAGTAGCCGGGCAATAGGGGACTGTTTCACTTAAGGCAGTTGCTCCACCTGATTATTAGTATTTTTTTTTCTTCCTGGGCAAATTTATTTCAAGGAGGCTCTTGCTGTGTTACTTGTCTGGGCAATTCTAGATCATGTTTATTAACATGTGTGTCTTGGTTTGTTTTTTAGTAATCCTTGGAGGTCCCTTGGAAAACCAGTACAGGCTGAAGCAGTTCCACTTCCACTGGGGAGCTATAAACGAGTGGGGCTCAGAGCACACAGTTGACAGTAAATTTTACCCGGCAGAGGTATGAGCTAAAGTGCTGAACAATGCAAATACTTGTGGGGGCTGGAGGCTGGGTTTCAGGCTGCCTGTGACTGCACTGCATGCTAGAAAACTCCCAGTTTGAAGAATTGGTAATATAGTGGTTATCATGACCCCTTAATTTTCTGTTTTCCACTCTTAAGCAATTATTAAGGTAGCAAAACTTTTGTGATTAAGTAACTAAGGCAGAAAGAGAGTCAATAAAAAGGATGGAGGCAGTGGGGAAAAATATAGATTAAGTTGCTCGGAGAGGAAAGTATGACCAGTATGAAAACACTTAGATGCCAAAGATGGAGAATTTGAAAAATGATTCTTGCTTATTTTTGAGAAGATGTTTATCCCCTGTTAAGGTGTTCATAATGATGCCTGTCAGCTTGGCAAGGTACTTGCTAACAGCAAGGCTTACGAGTAAGCTTTGGGACTGGTGCTGGGTGTTTAATACACAAAACCCCTCAATGTTCCTTAGCAGAATAGCGTGCTCTGTTCTTCCTCTTAGGGAGATGGAAGAGTCCTTCAGTTCCAGGTATACGGAGCTTTTTTTGTCCCTCTAACTAGCGTTCCTGTAATCAGTGTCCCACAAACAAAATCCCTTTCATATGTGTTAGATGCAGGTCATGGGTGTTTGGCTATTGTTTAAAAAAGGGAAAAAAAAAAGAGAGAAAAGTGCCATTATTTCCAATAATCGTTTGGTTCTCATCTTTGTGGTGTGCGATTTCTGGGGTAGCTCACTGCAGCGTCTCGAATTGCCGAGGTCCAAATGTAGCGAAGATCAAAAGTTGTTTCTTGGTGTCGTTGCTGGGCTCTGTGCATGTGTTGATTTCTCCTTCATTTGTATTTCAGCTGCATCTGGTGCACTGGAATGCTGTTGTGTACCCAACTTTTGAAGAAGCTGTAATGGAAGGTAACGGCTTGGCTGTTATTGGAGTGTTTTTAAAGGTAATTTCACTTTGTGTAATAAGCTTTAATGATGCCTTTTTATTTCCATTTTGTTAAAACCGATTTAGGACAAAATACCTGTAGATTTTTGTGGTTATTTTCAAAAACTACTGATTGAGGTAGATATGCAGAACGTCAGCTTAATAATTCCCTAACTCCTCCCCATCTCCTGCAGCTGGGAGCGCATCACGAAGGGCTGCAGACACTGGTTGATGCCTTGCCGGCAGTTAAACACAAGGTAAGCGTTTTGAAGTGTCCCACCAGTGATCCCTCAGCACAGCTAATGCTGTCATTCAGCATAAAGATACTTTAAGAACAGCGAAACTAATAAATGATTTCTTCCTTAAATGTCAGTAAGGGGCCTGACTGACAGTTGGGGTGAATTGTTGATTCCACTGGAGGCGGAGGGAAGCTAATTTTTAAGGAGGAATTGTATACTTTAAGCTTTCCCAACCTCTTGGTTTAAGAAATGATAGTCTTGAGATTGTATCCCCTTAGAAGGGCCTGTGCATGTGTAAGGCTTGCCCTCGCTGAAGCTTGCTCTTCCGCTTCTATCAAGACAGATGCCACTGGATTAGTTTTCGTATGTTGTTTAACTGGAAGGAACTTTGTGCTGGGTGAAGAGGTGGTTCATTTCTTGTGGAATTAAGGCTTTCTGACTTTCATCTGATCTTTGAGGAGGAGATACTTGTTTGCTTTTTTCTAAACGCTGTAAATTTTCTGCTAGGGGAATGGGACACTTTCTTCATAGCTGATTCCTGACTTTTGCCAGGAGAGGGAGTGCTGTGCCTCTGATCGTGCTCAGAAGCACTCCCGCTCCTCCAGGTGTCCGCTCCTTTTGGAAAGTACACACAAAGAATACACTTCAAGAATTTTGCTGGCTTGTAAGCACATCCAGTGAAGCCGCTGTACCGTTATTTATCACAGTGAGGATTTTTTTTATCCAAATAAAACAAATATTTATGGCAGTGCCGTGAAAATTCTGCCAGATAAACGCCAAACAAGTCCATTCAGTGCCAAAAAGACGTACAAAGATCTGTGAATATACATCCATTAGGAGAATATAATGTTTTTACAGCATATGAATTCAAAAGAAACTGAAGTCAAGATCTTTTAAAAAAAAAAAAAAAAATCAACATTAGGCTCACCAAGCTGCTTGTGGGCTCCCCTGAAAGGGATCTCCTTTCCAAAGGGTGCCGGTCACCCAGCAACTCATCAGCACTGGCTTTAAAACGTTTGAAAACCTTTGTTGCCTTGCCAGTGGGCATTATCACTGACTTAGGCACCAAACCCCGAGGAACATCACTCTGGTTAGGAGGAAGGTCAGATAATAGCCACTCTGATGTCCTTGCACCTTCCTCTCTCACATGGTGGGTGAAAGCTCCCATCTAGAATCTCTTGTCCAACCCCCTATTTTTGAAAAATTCCTCACTATAATATTTCTCACTCTCAGTGAGGAATCAATAAAGCCTATCTAAGGAAAAACAAGACCTTCCTTTCCTTTGTTGCAGTATATCCTGGAAGTACTCCAGGAGTAAAATAGAAACCATGGGCTCTGAAGCTCCTACCTTCTGTCTGGTATCTCGCTTGTGGGAGTGTGCATTCTGGAGAAGTGAATACTTGATGTGATTTGAATACGATTTTATTCCTCTTCTCTCTCCCTGTTGCCTAAAATCATGTGGTCAAAAGTAAAAGCACTGTTGTTTGCAGTCTATTAAGTGTATCTGGCAGAACTACCTGAACTTATTCCATCGCTTACTCTTTCCTTTTTCCTGTTTGCTTCTAGCTCCCACAGAGACATGGTCAGTTGCTCCTTCGCACTCCTGGTTTCTTCTTCACTGAATTCCTCATGGCTTGTGGGGACAACAGAAATATTTAAATTTTGTCTACTCACTATCTGCCTCTTCTGCCTCAAACCCAGCTTAGCAATTTTGTACAAGTTTATGGGGTTTAAAATTACTATTTTAGGTAATCATTGTTAATATTCACAGTACTTATTTTGCATGTGCATACATAACATGTACAGTATTTGGTCTTGTTAAGATCTTTTAAAATATTATGGTGGGTTTTTTGTTCCTTAAAATATGACTTTTATAAAATAATTCTTTCTGGGTTTAGGACACTGTTATCGAGTTTGATGTCTTCGATCCCTCCTGTTTGATACCTTCATGCCCTGATTACTGGACCTACGCGGGCTCTTTGACTACTCCCCCACTTACTGAATCAGTCACATGGATTATTAAGAAGAAGCCAATAGAGGTTGATGAGGAGCAGGTAAATCTCACGCTTAACCTTTCAAATGGTACCATACCTGTTTGACTGCCTGCTGCCCCGGAGGGGAAGATGCACAGAAGTAGTTGCTTACCAGTGCCAATAATTCTCTGTGAATACAGAGGTACAGAAAAATCAGTGGTTGTTTCACACCCTGTGTTTGTTTGGGGAGATATCCTGGCGTTGACAACAGCTAGTATGGAAAGACTTCAGCCCTCTTCAGTCAGCGGTTAAAGATGCTTCTCCAGCTCTCTGATAGTCGTATCTCGATCTGTGATAAACGATGCCTTATGCTGGAAGCTGCTCCCTGAAAACTTCTGAGGTTATTTATTGGAGCGCTGCGTAATTTTGCTCTCCTTGCCATGATGCAGCCCTTTTGGTGGGAAGGGGGGAGGAGAAAGGGCATGTTTTGTGACATTCCAAACTCTGACCTTTTGTGCCCATCCTTGATAGCCACGTGCATTTGCACAGGAATCTTGCAGAGGCTGCAAGGGCTTGATCCGCTGTTCTTCCCTTGGGTGGGCTCTGAAGGCGCAGAAGGGGTGGTGGGTGGCTCCGAGTCCTTCACATGCCATTCTGATGGCGAGAGATAGGGTGAGTCCCCACTGGGTTTTCGCAGGCATATTTACTCTATATTTGGCTGTACTGTCCTTGAATTCCTTTTTTTGTTTGTTTGTTTTATTCATTCCCCTTTAAAAAGGAAAGACAAACAAGGGTTTCAGCAGATGCTTGTATTACAGAAATTGTTTCAAGTGGAGGAGTTCGTGGTCAATAATCTGTTCTGAGGCCAACCTGAACTCGTCACCATATGCCCTCAACTGCTTTTAATTTTAGTACTTCTTAATTTAGTACTTTAGCTGTTATTCCTTGGTGTGAAGCAGATGTAGGGAACAAGTAGAAAATGGTCAGAAGGAGGACTCATTGGAATTGTGCTACAGTTGTGGGTTTTGTTGGAAGTTTTAAGGATTTTTTTGGCTATTCAAAGACTAGAGTACTTTGAGGGGCACTACGGCATAGGACAAGTCTTGGAGATCGTTGCAAAGCCAGTAAAAATTAACAACCCCAAAGAAATCTACCATTTTTTCATGGTTTAAGAGGCACTGAAACTTGTCTGTGCGTTATCCCTGTTTGGTGAGGCTTGGATTAATAGTGAAGTGCAAGTCCAACAACGTGAGGCAAAATACTGATGCATTTATTTATTTTAAATACAACGTTTACACAAAGCTAATCCATCTAGACAGTCGTGCTGCAAACAAACACTAGCTCTGAAGAACAGGCGTGTACGTGATAGTAGTATTTTGGTTTACATGGAGGAACAGGGTGGGAAGAACTGAAGATTGCTAACAGAGAGAACTGAAGGCATAGCATGTCAATCTTTTCAATTGAAACCTTTTTCTTCTTTTTTTCCTTGTCTCTTTTTCACTCTCATTCTCTTATGGCATAGAAAGGCTTATAGTTTACTTAACATTGTAAAACCCTTGTGAGCATTAAAAGCTGATCTGCTGCGTACTTTGCTTTAAACCCCAGTTACAAACCACTGAGAACAACAGCTACGTAGGTTGTTGCTTGTTGAGGTTCCCCCTTCTCTGGGTGCCAGCATATGCATGTTGCTATAAGATAGCAGAACTCCAGGAAGGGTGTAAATTAAGGAGGTTGGAGAGACTTATTTAAAGATAGCATATGTTCCAGTGTTTGAATGGGAATCAGTTCCGTCTCAGACACACCACACTTGAGATTTAGTTTGCCTAAAGATGGCAGATGACTGACAATTCGTCTTCTGCATTGATACGGATGGTGGCATCATCTTTACCAGCAGGTGACAAAGAAGTGCTAGAAATTCGTGCTAAAATTTCTCAGAATGCAAATGTAATAGTACTTTTGATTTCTTTTTTTTTTTTTTTTTCCCAAGCATGAATGATTGTGTTTTGTCGCGATCTCCAATAATTCTCCAGTTAGTAAAGTCACAAAACTGGACGTTTCTCATTCTCAGCTGGAGGCATTTCGGATGCTGCTCTTTACTTCTGACGGTGAAGAAGAAAAGAGAATGGTAGACAACTTCCGCCCTCTGCAGCCATTAATGAACCGAACCGTCCGCTCGTCCTTCCAAAGCAGGCACCTCTTGGATACTGAAGTGCAGCCCGAGGACCGTGCTGAGCAGATCAGGCCGTAGATGGCCCACGAAATGTCAGTCCAGACTGCAACACCTGGATATAACTGACGTTACTTTTCAATTATTTTTCCTTTTGCCGCAGTGTGTGCATGCCGTACAGTTTCACAGCCAGCCAGCTTCAGTTCTGCTAAGTGCCCGTTGACCTTCAGTAGAGAAGCTGTGGGGTTTTTTAGATTTGCTTTTTTAAGAAGTAAATAAAAGTAACCCTTAACAAATGGATCAATAAGGAATTATTTTGACAGTTAAAGGAAAAATAAGGGCAGTAGATCTTTTCCCCTGCCTCTCTTCTGTGTTGCTCTGTGTCGCTTCAACTGCTCTTTCAGTGGCTTGTATGAATTAATAATCCCAACTAAAAACGTGTTAGCAAGCAGGAGGTGTGAAGAAGTGAAAAGGGTTAATACTGATGAGGTCCTTTTGTGGGATTGTTTCACGCGTTTGGGAAGAGAACTAGATTCTCTGGTCACATATACAGGGACATTTTATCTTCTTCCTCTTTAGTTAGTGCTTAGGCTGACAAGAGGAGAAGGGAAAAAAAAAATAACCTACAGAATGTAACCTCTTTCCATTCTATTGACTGCGTGATCCATGTGTGGTATGGATGCCGCAGAATGTCCGCTCTATCTCCACCACAAGCCAGAAGACTTTTTCTAAAACCTTATAACAAATGTAGAAGCTTTTAGTTTTCTGTATTAATAATGTAGCAGGAGGAGAGAGCAGAAGAGAATTCACCAGTATCTCAAGATTGGCAAGTGCAGCAAATTAGGCGAAAATGTCCCATTGATCCCAGAAACTGATCACATCGAAGGAAAGCAAAATTAGATAAGCCCCAGCTGACCCTCCCAATGGGATTTGGGGGGAAAAAAGCCCCAAAACAATTTCTGAAACCTAATCCAGTGCTAGGAGAGTGTGGACAAAATGCAGCATTCAGATACTTGAAAGTTGGGGTTCTTTTCAGTAACTCGCAGAGCACCAGTGCACTGTCTTCAAATTTTTGTCTTAAGATGCACTTTTCTTAGAAAAAGAGTTCTTTAGCTTTGTGACAACTGCAGACCAGACTGTATTTATAGCACCTCATGGTAATGACGTTAAGTGATGGTTGAAAATTGATTGGTGGACCAGACGAGGTGGTTGTGTAAGCTGCCAGCTGTGGAGCCTTATCCTAGAGTTAAGGTCCAGTTGGCACAAGTATTGTCTACCTCTGAATAGCATACTACTGTTAGCCATAATTTTCTTTCTTGCACCTTTCTCGCTGCCTTTTTATGCTTTGCTGTATTTAACAGTGTGCCTGCGCATGAAATTCTTGTCCTGAATGCATGGTCAGGTTTTCTGGTGAGGAGCGAGTCTGTCTGTAAACTCACCATGTGATCTTGACTGATTGTATTTGAGGAGTCGTGGAGGACAGATGTTACTTGGTCTGCTTCTGCCAGTAGAGCAAAGTCCTGGATTGCTGATGTGAGTCAGGACTAGCTTGTCGATGCTGAATTCAGAGCTTCAGTATAGATACTTTGGGGGGGTTTTAAGTCCAATTGTTCAGTTTAAAAGCACTTTAACACTTTTTAGGGTGACCCTGATGATTTTAATACTCTTGCTTTTGAATATCCTTGTTTAACCAATTAAGTGCCCAGGTCCTGCCTTTGCTTCCTCAGTAGCTCTACCTCAGGCTGTTGTAACCTTGCAACAGTTGTGCCTTTCTCCCTTGGCGATTTGAAATGTGGCCACTTAACCTCAGAGCGACTCTGCGTGGTAAATGTAAGAAAATCTCTCTCTTCTATCCCAGTGTAGGATGCTTGTTTTTACTGGGTAGTATATTCAGTATGGCAGTATATGTCCTCAGTTCCGTTACCTCTCCCAAGCCCTCGGTTGAACCTTACTGTCTTGGCTGAACTTGGTTGAACTGACTCAGTTGACCTACACCATCTCAGTTGAGCTATAGAGTCTTCAGACAGACTTTTTACTGTGTTCCTGGTCTGCAGAATCACATCAGTGATGGCTTTGCCAGGGAATGACAGGCTCCAAAGTAATTTTGGAAGGGGTATCTGCAGTTCTGGCTATAGGAGAAGAATTCTTTTGCTTTCTGCCTGAATGTACGTGATCTAGTCATCGTTGAGCTTGAGGTTTTCGTTCAGTGCTGTTCTTGCAAACGCTTTTTCTGAGGAGGACCCCGTAGAAAGATGGCAGTGATTCAGAACTGGCTGTATCTGGTCTATCTTTGAGGGGGTTTGCTGCTCATTATTAGTAGTTAGGAAAAACTGGAATATAGTGTTGCCTTCACACTTAAAAATGCAGCTGACTCAGCAGCACTAAGCTGGCTAGAGGTAGCCTGCATCAATATTCCTGTCACATAGGAGTGGGTCTTTTAAAAAGCTGCGTGCAATTGCTCAAAGGTGGGGTTTTTAGCTGCCTTGGTAATTTTGTGTGCCTCTGCCCCACTGAGCTTGTTGCTTTAGTTAACGTAGCTTTCCTAGCATATGCAAATACAAAATACATATTTTGTTCTTAGGGAACTGCTGTGGTGTAAATGTTTAATCTTCAGGTACTTCGTAATGCTGCAGCGTGCTCATGCCCGCCTGGCTTCTCAATGGTTCCGTTTGCTCCGCTGAACCAAATTTTGTTCCTAGGTGTGCAAATCCCTTTTGAACGTGCTCACCACCGGGCATCCATCAGAGGTGATGTTGAATATTCTGCCTTCAGTGATCTATTTACAATTCTCATAGAGGTTTACTACTTTTGTTAAAACTATTGTCATGGAAGTTTTGTTAGAAAATAAATGTATTATCCAGTCATACAGTTACTAAGCTATACTCTGTACGTATTTAGATAAAATTGCATATAAATATACTAACATAAAATGAATCCATTTCAATTTCAGCACTGATAGTTTCAAATATCTGGAAACAGGGTCAACGTAGAAAAATTAACGCTACTGTGCTACAAAAGTAAGCTTCAGAGGGATTTTCTGTTACAGTTCTCTAATTTTTTTTTTTTTGAATCTTGCAGTTATATCTTAGTGTTTTAGCATCTCTGGTTCAGGTAGACAGTATCTCGGTTGCAGGACAGGTTGTTGTTGAAATTAGTGGGCTGGAAATGAACAGAAAGGGGGTTTTGTGGGTTGTTTGTTTGTTTTAAACTTTTATGTTACCATGACTGTATTGGCCCTGCAAAAGGCAACTTTGAGAAATATGATGCTGTGTACCTGCACGTGTATGTAAACCAGGAGATGGGGTGTAATTCTTCTGCCTTACTCTCTCAGTTGTGTGAGGGGAAAAATAATTCGATACGATTGTTGGAGCTAATCTTTGTAATGAGTTTGCACGACTAAGTTAAACTCTATTCGAAAGGTGTCTGCGTAGGGGTCTTCAGGCTCTTCTTTTGGGTGGCACGATACGGCAGGGTCAAAGCACACGTTTGTATTTGTGCTTGCATAGTCGTCGCTGCCGTTACTTCGTGCTGTACTGGGAGCCGTTCCTGTGGCAGTAAGTACTAGGAATTAAAGACTGTAATGAAAATGATTTTGAGGACAGCTTACTGAAAAGGGAGTAGAAGGTTTTTTGAGCGTAGATCTGTGTCCGTGTTGGTCTGACTTCCAGCTGCCTTGCAATAGCTCTGTTAAACGTCGCTCTTACCTAAAGTCTTGTTCTTGGCGACTTCATAGTCGGAATGACATAATGTGGGGGTTAACTGTTTGATCCATGTTCCTACATTCCAGAACTTTCACACCAGTGCACTGCAGGTGTACACCACCACATATACCTGGGCAGTCTCGTGTTGTCTTCTGTCGTGAGAGACTTGCATTGGTATTTTTACCAGAATTGTGACAGCAGTGTATCTTTTTGGCTTTGAAAGCTAGAGAAACAGAGATTGCTTTGATCTCATGAAAATCTACCGGGTTTTAGAGTACTGGAGTTCTACACGGCTCGCTTTTGAGCAAGGGTCCCTTTTTCTGCCCAACTTCATAGTCAATACCATTTGCTTTCAAATTTGAATGCCTTAATTTTGAATGTCTCGACTGATATTTCTTGGCACATCTTTGCTTTTTTCTTTGTGCATCTTGTTTTCGTGGCAGTTACTACATTGTGTATTTTAATGTATGTTATCGGCATGATTGTCATTTGCTGAAATAATTCTCTTTGTGGACAACATATGTAACAGGGAATGCCTCTTGTTCTCCTAGGGTACAGGCATTTTTCCTCAGTTTTTACCTGTTGTAAAGAAACTTGTAGCTGCTGGATTTTAAACTGTTACATTAGTGTGTGACTATGCAATAAACAAATGGAGAGAAACCCATGCCTGTATCTCATTGTATAATTAAGGTCTCCCAAGTTAAAAAGTAGATTCTTCCGTCAAGAAAATAACACAATTCGTCCTTGAGAATGAACCAGTTCATTATGAGTGGAGTCTAATCAGATGTCAGACATCCTGTGATACTTAAAAGCTATGAAAGACTCTGCTGAACTGTATTATAATTGGAATGAAAGAACAATGACCTCTCTGTTGCTGCTGTACTGATGGAAGGATATCTAATTATTTGTTACATCGGCTAGATGCATCATGCCATCTAAAATAGGATTCTGAATTTTGAGGATCTTTGCTGAAGTACTTCATTTGACGCTGATCATTAAACCCGGCCTGTTGACTAAGCTCCTTTTTCTGATGTGTAATTGGTCTTGGTAAAACTGAGCGTTGATCTGATGTGTGGTATAACTCTCAAGGGTTTCACACTTAGTGGTTGTGGCTGCAAGAAACTTGTCAAATAACCCCCCCCAAAAAAAGCTTTGAGTAAAATAAATTACTTTTATCGATAAAATTTGGCTAATCAGGTGAAATAAGCGTTCCCTGTCTCACTGATTAGCCATGCTTAGAGTCTAGATAACCTAGAGATACGCTATGCTTAGCAGAATTCATTCAAACAAGTTTCCACTTCTTTTGATGGGAAAAGTAGGAGATGACATTCCTGGTTCAGGAATTCCCCCCCTGAAATAATTGTGGACAATACTTCTATATAAGGCCTCCTGAACGGTGCGACATGGTCCCCTCTGCAGTAGGCAAGCCATTTCAGCATGAAGGAAGTGGCACGGGTTAAGGGTGAGGCCAGCTCCACTACTGTTACTGGTTAAGGGTTGTAGAGGCTACCACCACTTCCATTTACCCAACAAAA